GATAGCAAAAAGTTTTTTTTCTTCTTTTTTTTTTTTAGGATGACATACTTGACCCCAAAACCACAATGGCTTTTAATTAAACGTCAATAGCGTTTAATGACCGACCTGAATGTGACAAATCAGGCCGCCATCTGGGACTTTAGAAAAAAACTAAAAAGAGTGAAAGAGGAGTGCCACCCCCTCCCCCCCAACCCTCACCCGCCCTACTCTTTCGCAATGGCACTCTGGGGTGCCCGCTCGGTGGCCCCCGTCTCCTATGTCTTTGTTACCGGTTTCTTTGTCTGCTCCCTGATGCAGTTTTTTTTTAAATCTTGTGTCTTTGTTTCTACTCTGGCTCTACGTTCTTCCACTCTCTACGTTCGTACTCTGCTTTTATTTACTTTCGTTCATTTTTTTCTCTCGAGGGACAGCTTCGTCTCCCAACTTTTTTTTTCGCACTCTTTCTCTTTCTCCCTTCTTGCTTCTCATCAGTTCCTCCTTCCTTCCTCCCTCTCTTTTCCCCTCCCGCCTCCCTTCCTTCGTCTTTTTCTCCCTCCTTTCCTCCTTCCCATCCTCCTTCTCTGCTCTCTTACTTCCTCCATAACTTCCTCTTTTCTTCCTCCCTCCCTCCTCTCTTCCTTCCTCCCTATTCCTCTCATCCTTACTCCTTCTCTTCCTCTCCCTCCCTCCCTCCTCTCTTCCCCTCCTTCCTTCCCCCCTCCCACCCTCCTTGACACCTCTCACTGTTTCACCTTGCCCCAGTGCTTCTCTCACGCCCTGCCCCTTTCACACCCTTTATCAGCTTCCTCTCTCTTCCTTGATACAATCTCCTCCTACTTCCTCTTCTCCTACCTCTCATTAAAACCCTTCTTTTGATCATGATAACAAGATTGAGGATCAAGAGCTTCCTAAAACTCCTAAACAACAACGGGATTTTTTTAATCATTGCAAAGTTCACTGAAGAGGAGAGATAAAAGTCATTAATGAATTGAGTAATTAGGGAGAAGAGAATGATTGCTTTAATGTCCGGATCGAACGTCCACCACGTTTAGGTTTCCGGAACGAGACTTCGATAACACATACACACAATGCACACACACACACACACACACACACACACACACACACACACACACACACACACACACTCAACACACACACACACACACACACACACTCAAACAAACACTCACTCACTCACACACACACCACAGCACACACACATACACGCACACACACACACATACAGAAACACACACACACTCAAACAACACACTCACTCACACACACACACCGACACGCACACACACATACACGCACACACACACACACACAGACACACACACACACACAAGTGCTTCGCTCTTTTCTCTCTGACTTTGCAACAACTTGTGTGCTTCAGACATATAAGGCTTTTGTCCCTTTAAATGAACGTCAATGTATCTACGATGCTCGCTAAACCCTATATTCCCTCACGCCCGCGAGCTTACACTTACACACACACACACACGCCCACTCGCGCTATTCTCGGTCACGCCCACGACATGCCTCGGATATCGTGCGCGGGGAGTGACGTCACTAAGAGCCAGGTGGGGGGGGGGTAGATAAGAGGCCTTGGGTGTTCTCCAGAAGTGCATCCGGAGGCGAACACCTGAAGCTCTCATTATCGGCAGAACAAAGGTGATTAAGACAAAAAAAGGTTGCATTATATTCCTCTCGGTATCTGGGTATAACTGTTTTTCCCCTCTAAGGTCAATGAGCATTTCTTCCTGAAAAAGGATTACATTGTGTAGTCCTAATTCAGTACAAAATACAATGCCGGTAAGCATATCGTGCAAAAGAGCCCTGGACTATTGTATTCTGTCCTTCAGAACTCCTAAATTCAAGGAAAACTTCAAGAATCGCTGTCTGGTTCCAAATACACTTTCCATCACACAACTTACCTGAACAGATTGTCCGAGCTCCGCGTCTTGAGCAACTCGGGACACGTCCTTCTCTTGAACAGCCGCCACTTGGGGCCCAGGGCGGCAGGCGGCCCGCGGATTGGGCGGGGGCCGTGGAGCATCCCGGGAAGCCGCCCTCCCATTGGCCGACACATGCCCGGGCTGTGGTGGAGGAGGCTCGCCATGGACCCGCGTCGGCCAATCATGTTGATGTCCCGCACGGGCGAGCACGGGATTGGCTCGAAGGGCACGCCGCTGTGGGACTCGTTGATGGGCGTGCTGGCGATCGGGTGGCGCCTGACGGGGCCCACCACCATCCTCACGGGCGCGGACGAGGGCCCCGAGGCGTCGAGGTCGAAGTCCCAGTCCTCGAGGTTCTCCAGACTGAGGCTGAAGGAGTGGCCCATGGCGTCATCCCTCAGCTGGACGGACTGGGGCCTCAGCCTCGTGATCTTCGGCGAAGGAATCATGTCTTTGGTTCTCGCTCTCTGGAAAGCTAGCGCGGCGGACACAGCGGGTCACGGACACCGCCTAGAGTCTCACGTCATCCCGCGCGGGATTCATATCAACCTAACCATCTGCAAAAGGGGCGTGGCCGTTATACCAGGTTCAAAAGCAAGCCTTCGCTCTGATGTGAAGAGGGAGTTCCTGGAATCCGCGCGAGGAGGGTCGCCGAGGCGGCAAAAACGAGAGTGCGCTCGACGCCCCACGCCTCAAAGGACGAGGTCAGCGTCCACTTGACCTTGGAATCGAGCAGAGAGAAAGAGTAAGACAAGGAGGGGGAGGAGATGCGAAACAGAAAAAAGAAGAGAGGAAGGAGAGGAATACGTTAAAAATAAGTATCACGGTTTTATCAAAACCACGTCAGGTTTGCTATGCCTGGAGTATAATACAAAGTAAATGAATAAGAGAAAAAAACACGAGCACACGAAACATGAAACGAAGTAAAAAAAAAAAAAAAAAAAAAAAAAAAAAAAAAAAAAACACTTTAATAATGCAAAAATACATAAAAGCGATTAATACACATATTTGAAACACGTAAGCGATCGAAGCTTTCGCCATCTGAAGAGCGCGCCGAGAGAACGTCTTATCTCTGTAACCATCACGTCCCCCCCCCGCAATCCCCAAAAGCCCCCACCCCCCACTTTGCACTCGCACCCTTGATCGACCCCCACCCCCACCCCCACCCACCCCACCTCCCTCCCTCGCCTTCCGTCGCTATGACAGGAGACGATGTCCTTGAGGGTGAACAGATTCTTCTATTTTTTGCAAAAGAAAGAAAGAAAAAATGGGTTCTTTAAAAGCAGTTGCGTTGCCCGGCAGCATGTATTTATATATTTTTTACGTGTATTTAAAAGGAAAATTCTCTCGTACTCTGGAGATATCTCTCCGCGTTCCAAACATGTACGCTTTCTTCACTCTCCCCCCCGCCCCCATTTTGTTTCCATTCCCTCCATTTTTTCTCTCTCTACCCTGCTTTTCTCATTCCGTCCTCATCACATCCTCTCTCTCTTTCTTTCTCTTTCTCTCTCTCTTTTTCTCTCCCTCTCTCTCTCTCTCTCTCTCTCTCTCCCTCTTTCTCTTCTCCTCTCCCTCTCCCTCTCTCTCTCTCTCTCTCTCTCTCTCTCTCTCTCTCTCTCTCTCCTCTCTCTCTCCCTCTCCCTCTCTTCTCTCTCTCTCTCTCCCTCTCTCTCTCCCTCTTTCTCTCTCCCTCTCCCTCTCCTCTCGTCTCTCTCTTCTCTCTCTCTCTCTCTCTCTCTCTCTCTCTCTCTCTCTCTCTCTCTCTCTCTCTCTTACTCACTCACTCACTCACTCACTCACTCTCTCTCTCTCAAAAAAAAAAAAAAAAAAAAAAAAACGAAAGATTCCCACTCAAATTAGGCCTAAACTGAATCCCATTCTCGGACGCACCCCCCCCCCCAAAAAAAAAAAAAAAAAAAAAAAACGAATCGACCAGCTGTGGCGAATTACGCAAGATGGAGACGAGAGATAAGAATATGGAAGAAAAAAGGGGAAGGATGAGGCTGCTTAACTGCTGCTCTGAAGACACAGTCGGATTAATTTCATCTTATGGGTCTATTTTTAGAAGTCTCCAGATAGGAGGCGAAAATTAGGGTCTGTAAGGATACGGCGAAAGGAAGGATGTGAAAGAAAAAGAATTATAGAGAAGAACAAAAAAAAGTAAAATAAGTTAAATCTCAATAGAAAGAATAATAGAAAATATTGTAATTTCAGTAATGCCATGACAAACATTTCTATTTTTTTTATGTAAAATCACACAAGCAACCCATACCCACTTCAAAACACGAAATCGTTAAGAACCAAATAGGCCTACATAACGAAAGCGCAATGACACAGTTGCCAACGCGAAATTTCCGTCGAATTTTCTGGCGCAGTGAACCGGCAAAGTATCCATAATTTTGGCGCTGTTCAATGTGGCATATTGGACACGCGCGCACGTTCACCTGCGCAGAACACGTTTCCGGCGGACCAGTCGTGCGTGCGTGCGTGCGCCCCCGCCGATCTCTTTACGGGGTCCTGGAAAAAAATATCTCAGAATGGCGTATGTGTGTGCGTCTAACTGTTCCGAGCCTTGCAACTTTCGCCATCATGATCATCGTCACTGTCATCATTATCGTCATAATCGCCATCGTCATCATTGTCATCTATATAGTTATTGTCATCATCATCGTCGTCGTCACCATTACCATCATCATTATCGTCATTATCGCCATCGTCGTCATCATCGTCATCATCCTCATTTTCATCATCACCATCACAACACCCGATTTCTGACATCCTCCTCGCCGCTGAATCAGCATCGTCAGCATGAATGTCGCATCACCATCATTGCCTTACAAGATCATGCCTCATACAAAAAAGAAGAAAAAAGAGAAAGAAAAGAAGAAGAAAAAAAAGAAAAGAAGAAAAGAAAAGAAAAGAAGAAGAAGAAAAAAAAAAAAAAAGAATGAAAGAAAGAAGAAAAAAAAGCCTTTTATGAATTCAAACCCTCTTTATAACTCACAACAAGTATACATCCCACATCATCTTCCGTATGATGTGTTACGTACATCACCCCCCCCCCCCGCCTCTTCAACACAAGACTGACCTGGCACCTGACATCGCTCTCTTGACCTCATCCTATATCCGCTCTCAACCCTTTCTTCCCGGAATCAAATAATAACTACTTCCTACTTGAAACTTTTTTTGGTTCTCCACTCTTATCTCTTGAGAAATTCTAAGATATTTGTAATTTTTTTAGACTTTTTTTTAATCTCACTTGTCTCTTGAGAAATTCTAAGGTATTTGTATTTTTTTTTCTATGTCTGTCAATCTACTTGTCCTGTTTGGTTATTTTGTTCGTATCTTGAATATCATGTATTTTTTTCTATATATTCTTTAAACATTAAGTTACCTTCCATTTCATAGCTTTTCTATTTTCTTTCAGCAGAATCTCTCAATCTCTCTCTCTCTCTCTCTCTCTCTCTCTCTCTCTCTCTCTCTCTCTCTCTCTCTCTCTCTCTCTCTCTCTCTCTCTCTCTCTCTCTCTCTCTCTCTCTCTCTCTCTCTCTCCTCTCTCTCTTCCTCTTTCTCTTCTCTCTCTTCTCTCTCTCTCTCTCTCTCTCTCTCTCTCTCTCTCTCGCTCTCTCTCTTCTCTCTCTCTCTTCTCCTCTCTCCTTCCTCGCCTGATTCTCGGTCCAATCCCATTCACCTCGCCGTGATCCCTGATTTCATTTCATTCCTTCTGCTTTTCTGATCCTAATCCAAAAATCGCCTTCATACCCCTCCCCCCTCCCCCTCCCTTCAACTGCCCTCTTCCCTCTCCTCCTTCCCTTCCCCTCATCCTCCCTTTCATCTCTCTTACTCTTTCTCCCCCCTTCACCTTTCCTCCTCCTTCCACCTTCCCCTCCTCCTTCCCGTCTCCCCCCTCCCCTCCCTCCCTCCCCCCTCTCCCTCCCCCTCCTCCTCAATCCCTCTCCCTCACCCTCCACCTTCCTCCCTCCTTCCCTCTCTCCCTTCCAATCCCTCCCTCCCCTGCCTTACACATCCCCTCCCATCCCTTCCCTTCGCCCTCCCCCTCTCTCTCCCTCCCCTTCTCCTTCCCCCCTCTTTCCCTCCTACTTTTTCCTCCCCCCCCCCCACCCCCCACCCGATACAAGAGCTTGATATTACAAACCTATCCAGAGCGAACGAAATGAGAACGCATTTATCGACGATCCAATACCTTTCTGGCTGGGTACGGGAGGGGATGGGGGGGGGGGTAGGCCGGGTAGGTGGAGGGAGAGAGAGGGAGAGAGGGAGGGAGGGAGGGAGGGAGGGAGGGAGGGAGGGAGAGAGGGAGGGAGGGAAGGAGAGAAAGGAGGGAGGGAGGGAGGGAGGGAGGGAGGGAGGGAGAGGAAAAGAAAAGGAAGGGGAGGAGGAGGAGAACTAATTAATGGTGGTGGGTAGTCGTAGCAGTAGTAGTAACTGTAGTAGTAGTAGTAAGTAGTAGCTGTAGTAGTAAACTCTAGTATAGTAGTAGCTGTAGTGTAACTGTAGTAGTAGTAGTTGTAGTTGTAGTAGTAACTAGCAGTAGTAGTAGAAGTAGTTGTTGCTGTAATTGTAGTTGCAGTAGTAGGAGTAGCTGTAGTAGTAGTAGTAGTAGTAGTAATAGTAATAGTAATAGTAATAATATTAAGTAAATAAGTAGTAATAGTAAATAGTAGTAGTAGTAGAAGAAAGAAATAAAATCAAGAAAGAAATAGGAAGTGAGGAAGGCAAAAGGGGAGAGATGGCAGGGGGAGGGGAGGGGGGGGGCAGGAAATTGAAGAAGAGAGGGCGAACCTGATCAAGTTATGTGGAGGAAGAGGATATGGTGATAAATTGAAGGAAAGGAGAACCCGGAAAAGACGAAATCATGCTGGAAAAAGCGTCAAAAGATATCTAAAGAAATACAAAAAAAAATGCGTGATAAAAAAATGGACTTTAAACTTAAAACACACAAACACACACAAGCACGCACAGACACACACACACAACACACCACACACACACCACACACACAACACACACACACACACACACACACATACATACATACGAACATAAATATAAAATACAAAATCATACGCGCTGTCAGAATTCCAAATGGACAAGAAAGAGCCAGAGAGAGAGAGAGAGAGAAGAGAGAGAGAGAGAGAGAGAGAGAGAGAGAGAAGAGAGAGAGAGAGAGAGAGAGAGAGAGAGAGAGAGAGAGAGAAGAGAGAGAGAGAGAGAGAAAGAGAGAGAGAAAGAGAGAGAGAGAGAGAGAGAGAGAGAGAGAGAGAGAGAGAGAGAGAGAGAGAGAGAGAGAGAGAGAGAGAGAGAGAGAGAGAGAGAGAGAGCGAGAGAGCGAGAGAGAGAGAGAGAGAGAGAGAGAGAGAGAGAGAGAGAGAGAGAGAGAGAGAGAGAGAGAGAGAGAGAGAGAGAGAGAGAGAGAGAGAGAGAGCGAAGAACGAGAGCGAGAGAGAAAGAAAAATTAAACCAAAAAAAAAAAAAAAAAATCAGAGCCACAGACGTAAGGTCGAATTCATGAAGCGAACACGAGGATAAAGAAGCC